TATCAAATAGGGGAAAGAGCTAAATCTTAAAAAATCTTCTCCTTTCTAACCAATAGAGGGATTTTGACCTCCCAGGATGCAGAGGGGTGGGGCCGAATAGGGGAAATAGAAGAAAACTTATAAAATCCTTTCTACTTTTGTATAAACAAAGGGATTTTAACTAAATGTTTTTTAGAGCATCTTTGGGCAAGGGGATTCAGTTTTGTACAAAGAATTCATGTAAGTAAATCTCTCTGGTACACATTAGTCAGGTAAACCACAGTGGTAAAGTGTCCTGGTGAACACTTAGGATGATACCATTCACCTGGTAAAGGGAGGTAACTCTCTCTGGTACACAGTAGTCAGGTAAACCACAGTGGTAAAGTGTCCTGGTGAACACTTAGGAGGATACCACACACCTGGTAAAGGGAGGTAACTCTCTCTGGTACACAGTAGTCAGGTAAACCACAGTGGTAAAGTGTCCTGGTGAACACTTAGGAGGATACCACACACCTGGTAAAGGGAGGTAACTCTCTCTGGTACACAGTAGTCAGGTAAACCACAGTGGTAAAGTGTCCTGGTGAACACTTAGGAGGATACCACACACCTGGTAAAGGGAGGTAACTCTCTCTGGTACACAGTAGTCAGGTAAACCACAGTGGTAAAGTGTCCTGGTGAACACTTAGGAGGATACCACACACCTGGTAAAGGGAGGTAACTCTCTCTGGTACACAGTAGTCAGGTAAACCACAGTGGTAAAGTGTCCCATGGTGAACACTTAAGATCTCTGTTACAGACACTGTGATTATCTCAATGACAGGGAGTACCAGCTGTACAACTCTTGAGCAAAAAAATATGACATTTTTAAAGATGAGCATTTTTATGTGTTTCATCTGTATAATATTTTTCTAAAAAAAATCAGTGTCTTGACAAAAAAAATAGTTTTCCATAGTATAAGGGTCATGGTCTCTGCCTGGGGGCATTGTCCAAGGCTGACCAGTCACTATTGATCTTATTGAGACATGTTGATTGGTTCATTTGTCATATAACTACTGCACCTGTCCATCAGCCACTCGACCGTGTCCATCAACCGTTACAGTGTGACAGTAATATTCAATAATAGCTGTATTTGATGTCTCAGCCAATATTTCTGGACATCACATTGACCGGTGATATTCAATAAAACCTTGTTAATGTCCACGTCAGATCTACACATGACAATCACTTGTACCAGTATAAATAGGTTTTATCGTGACTTTTAGTATTAGGGATTGTTGATCAGGTACATTACTGGTATCAGTAGAATGGGACTAAACCAGACTTACTGAAGTACTTGAACTTTTGATAAAGCTTTACTGGGCCTTTAAGTATAATTTTAAAAAAGTCATTAACTAATTAAAAAGGCATCAAAACCAGTTAATTACACATTTATCGTCTTTATTCGAGGGAGATGTAAATGTTGCCAATGAGAAATCTCCAGTGTAACACATCATAAAATGACACCCCTATCATTTCTTACCCACCCTGCCCCCACCCCTACTTAGCTCCCTAACTCTCTTTCCTCAACATCCCCATCCCTGTCTACATTCTTATTTCCTTTCACCTGTCCCCAGGCCACCACTTGAAACTTTCCAAGCTTTGAATATTTTTCGCGACCATCAAATTAATTCACAGTGACAGTGCTATTAACCTCAGTAGGAAATGCCATCTTTGACGACTTCATTGATTGTGTATCATTAAGTAGACCTTTCCGTCAGCCCAGGTGACCAGTGTCACGGCTGATTGGTCTCCAGGTTTGGTAAAGATAATTACCAATGTGTACACCTACTTTGTCAGGTCTTGGTCTCCAGGTGTGGTAACGGTAATTACCAATGTCTATACCCATTTATGTTGTGTTAGCTTAATGACTCATCAACGTTAAACGAAAGTCTGTCGTATTTATGTAATAATTATCCCCCACTCAGCGAGTTGGCAGGGATATAGAAATGGGGTCCGTCCGTCCACCTGGTTAATAAGAATTGCTCTCATCTATATCTTACCTTCTACAAGTGCTATGTTGATTTTGACTTGCATCAGTTGTGTATCTAGGGTTGCTCTACTGAATGCCTATTGCGGATGCTGATTTTGACCTATATTTTTACGCTTCATCCATCACTAATCACGACATCAGAATAAAAATTCATTGAGTTGGTTATAAAGTACTTGTTGTCATATATCCTGTTTTTAATGACTTTTGCACTGTGAGCGGGGATATTGATGACAGCGCCCTTTTGTTAAAAATGAAAACAAGATATTGTTTGAAGTAAAATGGTCTCTCTCAGATAACACAAAAATACTCTACACACATTTATAAAAACCAAAAACAATGTTTACTTTTATTTGAATCTTTATTGCAATAGTATGTTAGTATTTAGTGTTAAAAGTTCAAGATTCAAAAGTGTTCCTGTTGTGTGTTTAAATAGTCAGTAATAACTTCCGGCAGAACGTCAGTTATTGACATTAAGTGACCAATAAAAGTTTAGAGAAGTGACCTGGACAGGTGATGACCTTTACTTTGGGTCAAGTCTTCAACCTGACCTTCTCTGTAGGAGGTAGAATCTGTGTCAGAAGGGGACTCCACCTGATATAAAAATGCTGATTTGAATCCTTGTTAAGTATGATTGTTCCATTAAAAAAGGAAGTATCATTCTTTATTTGGAAGAGGAATGTGTTTCGTATATTATTTTGTGTAAATATGTATTTGATGTTAAGAATTTATTTTGCCTAGTTTTACAGCCAAATACAGGCTGCTTTCCCTAACAAATACAGGCTGCTTCCCGTAACAAATACAGGCTGCTTCCCCTAACAAATACAGGCTGCTTCCCCTAACAAATACAGGCTGCTTCCCCTAACAAATACAGGCTGCTTCCCCTAACAAATACAGGCTGCTTCCCCTAACAAATACAGGCTGCTTCCCCTAACAAATACAGGCTGCTTCCCCTAACAAATACAGGCTGCTTCCCCTAACAAATACAGGCTGCTTCCCCTAACAAATACAGGCTGCTTCCCCTAACAAATACAGGCTGCTTCCCCTAACAAATACAGGCTGATTCCCCTAACAATTACAGGCTGATTCCCCTAACAAATACAGGCTGATTCCCCTAACAAATATAGGCTGCTTCCCCAAACAAATACAGGCTGATTCCCCTAACAAATATAGGCTGCTTCCCCTAACAAATACAGGCTAATTCCCCTAACAAATACAGGCTAATTCCCCTTACAAATACAGGCTGCTTCCCCCAAGCCTGACTGTATTTATCCTGGCCTGACAACATTTATTCTCCCTAGCCTGACTATTTATCCTGGCCTGACAACATTTATTCTCCATAGCCTTACTGTATTTATCCTGGCCTGACAACATTTATTCTCTCTAGCCTGACTGTATTTATCCTGGTGTGACAACATTTATTAATCCTAGCCTGACTGTATTTATCCTGGCCTGACAACATTTATTTTCCCAAGCCTGACTGTATTTATCCTGGCCTGGCAACATGTATTCTCCCTACCCTGACTGTATTTATCCTGGCCTGACAACATTTATTATCCCTAGCCTGACAATATTTATTCTCCCTACCCTGACTGTATTTATCCTGGCCTGACAACATTTATTCTCTCTAGCCTGACTGTATTTATCCTGGTGTGACAACATTTATTACTCCTAGCCTGACTGTATTTATCCTGGCCTGACAACATTTATTTTCCCAAGCCTGACTGTATTTATCCTGGCCTGTCAACATGTATTCTCCCTAGCCTGACTGTATTTATCCTGGCCTGACAACATTAATTCTCCCTAGCCTGACTGTATTTATCCTGGCCTGGCAACATGTATTCTCCCTACCCTGACTGTATTTATCCTGGCCTGACAACGTGTATTCTCCCTACCCTGACTGTATTTATCCTGGCCTGACAACGTGTATTCTCCCTACCCTGACTGTATTTATCCTGGCCTGACAACATGTATTCTCCCTAGCCTGACTGTATTCATCCTGGCCTGGCAATATTTATTAGTCCTCCACCGGTTCGGGGGGCCTATAGGTTTGCACTCTGTCCGTCTGTCCTTCCGTCCGAGAAGTTTGTCCTTAACATATCTTCTATACTATTTCACCTGGAGTAACCAGATTTGGTGTACAAGGACATCTTGGGATGGCAGAGTGCAAGAGTTAGGTCACTGTGACCTATGACTTGACCTTTGACCTTAACTTTTGAAAAAGTTTGTCCGAGGCATATTTTTATGTACTATTCCACCTGGTGTACGAGGACATCTTGGTATGACGGAGTGCAAGAATAAGGTCACTTTAACTTTTGAAAATGTTTTACAGGGCATATCCTCTTTGTTATTTCACCTAGAGTAACCAGATTTGGTGTACAACGACATCTTGGGATTAGAGAGTGCAGAGTGAAAGAATTAGATCACTATGATCTCACTGTGACCTGACCTTTGACCTTCACTTTTGAAAATGTTTGTCCAGGGCATGTCTTCTATACTGTTTCACCAGATTTAGTGTACAAGGACATCTTGGGATGATGGAGTGCAAGAAGTAGGTCACTTTGATCTCACTGTGACCTATGCTTCCTGACATAAGTGTACTGTTCATTAAATATAGTCTAGCTGTATTTATCTTTGCCTGACAACATTGATCAGTTTGTCATAGGTTTGTGGTCTCCCGGCTTGAATCGTTAGGTGTTGAGCCTGAGTTACAGTGTTGTAAAAAGTTGAGTGTTATGTGTAAAAGTGTAAACCGTTGGCAGGACACCTGTAAAGGTATAAAGGTAATAAGGATTTATAGGAAATATATACTGGTCATACCTGTCTATAGCAAAGTCTGTTAACCATTAGTTCTGACAAAATAATGGGAGTTTATAACACTTCCTGGACTTAGGTACCATCACTAGACAGTGGGATACCGGCTATTTATAGATTCTTATCTCCAAGTTCAAGGTCACCTTACCTAGATACTTCCCCAGAAATAAACCTGCTGTCATTTCAGGGTGAGGATCCTTACGGAGCTAAAACAGCAGCAGCAGCAAGACCTGGGTGACCTTGAGATTTCACGTACCCGTCTCCATGAGTCCGCTCAGGAGCTGGCCATCCGCTACGATGACTGTCAGGAAGCACATGACTCCATTCTTCGCAGGTCAGTGATTGATGATAAGCAATTTTCATTCTAGCAAGGCTCTGACACAGCTCAGAGGTATACAGTGTAAGACATGGCTCAGAGGTATACTGTGTGAGACATGGCTCAGAGGTATCCTGTGTGAGACATGGCTCAGCGGTATACTGTGTGAGACACATATCAGGCATACTGTGTGAGACATGGCTTAGAGGTATTGTGTGAGACACGGCTCAGAGGCATACTGTGTGAGACGCGGCTCAGAGGTATACTGTGTTAGACATGGCTCAGAGGTATCCTGTGCGAGACACGGCTCAGAGGGATACTGTGGGAGACATGGCTCAGAGGAATACTGTGCGAGACACAGCTCAGAGGTATACAGTGTGAGACATGCCTCAGAGGTATACTGTGTGAGCCACGGCTCAGAGGTATACTCTGTGAGACACGGCTCAGAGGTATACTCTGTGAGACACGGCTCAGAGGTTTACTGTGTGAGACACGGCTCAGAGGTATCCTGTGCGAGACACGGCTCAGAGGTATCCTGTGTGAGACATGGCTCATAGGTATACTGTGTGAGACATCGCTCAGAGGTATACTGTGTGAGCCACGGCTCAGAGGTATACTCTGTGAGACACGGCTCAGAGGCATACTGTGTGAGACATGGCGCAGAGGTATACTGTGTGAGACGCATCTCAGGTATATTGTGTGAGACACATCTCAGTTATACTGTGTGAGACACAGCTCAGGAATACTGTGTGAGACACAGCTCAGGTATACTGTGTGAGACACATATCAGGTATACTGTGTGAGACACATCTCAGGTATATTGTGTGAGACACAGCTCAGGTATACTGTGTGAGACACAGCTCAGGTATACTGTGTGAGACATGGCTCAGAGGTATACTGTGTGAGACACGGCTCAGAGGTATACTGTGTGAGACACATCTCAGGTATACTGTGTGAGACACAGCTCAGGTAAACTGTGTGAGACACATCTCAGAGGTATACTGTGTGAGACACATCTCAGGTATACTGTGTGAGACACATCTCAGAGGTATACTGTGTGAGACACATCTCAGAGGTATACAGTGTGAGACACATCTCAGGTATACTGTGCGAGACACAGCTCAGGTATACTGTGTGAGACACATCTCAGAGGTATACTGTGCGAGACACATCTCAGAGGTATACTGTGCGAGACACATCTCAGAGGTATACAGTGTGAGACACATCTCAGGAATCCTGTGCGAGACACAGCTCAGGGATACTGTGTGAGACACGGCTCAGAGGAATACTGTGTGAGACATGGCTCAGAGGTATACTGTGAGAGACACATCTCAGGTATACTGTATGAGACACAGCTCAGAGGTATACAGTGTGAGACACAGCTCAGGTATACTGTGTGAGAGACATCTCAGAGGTATACTGTGAGAGACACATCTCAGGTATACTGTGTGAGACACAGCTCAGAGGTATAGTGCGTGAGACAAAACTCAAAGGTATAGCGCTTGAGACACGGCTCAGTGGTATACTGTGTGAGATAGCCTTTAACTGCCAGTGAGTTTTTACTGAACTTTATGTTTGTGTTTCAGGATTGAACTGCCAGTGAGTTTTTACTGAACTTTATGTTTGTGTTTCAGGATTGAATCTGTGATGCGACGATTACAGGCCCGCAACCCTGTGCTGTCGGAGGCGGAGCGAGGGATGAAGAAAGATTTGGAGACCATGGAGGAACAGCTAGATAATTACAGAAAAAGTCTCCATCAGGTATTGTCAATTATCAATGAGATATTAAACAGGTAACACAGGTTTCTACATCAGGGATTTCCTGAAAGGTTTTCAATAGACAATACCTGAGCCTAATCCTTTTGTTCATCTGCAACTATAAAATTGATTTGAAATTGAAATGAAATAAAAAAAGGTTTCCTCAATTATCACAGGAGTCTTTCTCTTAGTCAAGAAATTTATTATCAAAAGACTATGAAATAAAACCTCTGTATTCCACCACACAGTCTGATCCAGCCATGTTGTTTGTTCTTGGAGGATGTCAGATTAGACAGGTTTTACACAGACAGTCTGATCCAGCCATGTTGTTTGTTCCTGGAGGATGTCAGATTAGACAGGTTTTACACAGACCGTCTGAACCAGCCATGTTTGTTCCTGGAGGATGTCAGATTAGACAGGTTTAACTCAGACAGTCTGAACCAGCCATGTTGTTTGTTCCTGGAGGATGTCAGATTAGACAGGTTTTATACAGACAGTCTGATCCAGCCACGTTGTTTGTTCCTATAGAGGAACAATGGTTGTCACATATTCAATTATAGTTTTCTAGTTCAAAGTTCAAAAATATATATGAAATATAGGTTGGAAACTGTTTTGATCAACAATAACTACCATAATTCTTTTTGATTTTTTGTGATCATCCAGCTGCGGACGAAGCATGAATATCAGACACGACAGATGAAAAAGAGCCAGGGGGCGTCGGCCAGCCACACGCTGAAAAACTCGCAGGTGTCCCAGATCCGTACTGTACTACAGCAGGAGTGAGTATGACGGCCATAGATGTGTCTAGTACAGGCTCTCTAGTATCATTATCTCATGATTTCAAACTACATTTTCCAAATTTGTTGTTAATTCATTGATTTCGCTAAAGATAATTTTTCAATATTTGGATAAAAAAATATCTTTTTTAATTTAAAACTCAAATGCTCAAATTGAAATTTCAGTTTTTGAAGTGATAGAAATTATGATGACATAAATTATGTCGAAATAAAATGGTCTGTTTGGAAAGGTTTCAAATCTGAAGTGAAAATAATTTAATAAGAATGTTCAAAGCAAAATTCACTTTTTAGAAAACTTTCGTTTGACTATGTTTTGATTAAGTTTTAAACCCTGCTGTTCAGGTAAAAGTTCATGTTACTGTCTTGGAAAAAAGGGATGGATGGCCCTGAAAATTTGACAAATTACTTTGTCTGCAATCTCATTATTTCTTTGTCTATATAAATATTTATTTGTTACAGTGGTGAAGATCTCACCAGCATGCTGCACAGGATCAACCAACTTAAGTTAGACGCTGGGGTGTGACCTCTCGACAGCCAGCAGCCACAGGATCTAGTCTGTGATCAGTACGGGAGGACGAAGATGATGGAGACAGGATGACCAGTTGGTTGTTTATCAGTCTAATATTGTTCACAGGACCCAAATCAGCTATAAATATGATGGTCCGCTAAAACACTGAAACATTTTAAATGTACACAGACAGTTAGAAGCGTTTATAGCAGCTAGCAAACAATAGAGAGCGAAGCGGTCAGCCAGCTGGCTAAACTGACCAAGAGACAATGAGAAATTCTTGATAATGAAACAAGTGTAACTGGGCAGTGATGTAGATCCCAGTGTAGCTAGGCTGCAACTAAGCCTCTAGCACTCCAAATGTTTTGATTCAAGTAAAAGATTCTCACCACCTAGATAGCATTGCTGTGAGTTCCTGATGTCACCACACTGTTCCTTGTGACGTCAATGGATGATACGACTGCTACATATGTAAAAGATAATGATTGGTCCTGTCTGATTTCAGTGTCATCGCTGTAGTTTCTTCATTACTCAAAACTGTGTACAGAGGTCAAGTATGAACCTTGACTGAGGTCTTATTGCAGGGTTCCGAGGTCCCTTTTACTATTTATATCAATTTGTGAACCGATTCAGAGACTAAATGAGTAAAGTGACATCATTCTAGAAACTTCATTTCTTAATAGTTTTGTATCAAACTTTGTATAACAGTCATGTAGGAGTTTACCTGTGTTTCAAAGTTCCAAGGTCAAGGTCAATGTTAAGGGCAGTTTTTATGGAAATTTGTCAAACAATTGTTTGTCATGCAAGCTAATTTGCGTGAGAATTGGAGCGTCCGTATCTTACAGACATTTTCTTGTTATTGTATAAGACATTACACTTTGAAGTTGAGCTCAAGGCCGTCGGGGTTCTGTGCGTGTTATTTGCGTGTGGAGTTTCACAAAGTGTGTGAGACGGGTTCTGTGCATGTTATTTGCGGGTGGAGTTTCACAAAGGGTGTGAGACGGGATCTGTGCATGTTATTTGCGTGTGGAGTTTCACAAAGTGTGTGAGACTTATCCAGGAAAATAATGACAGAATGCTTTAATTGATAGTAAATAATATTTGTGGAATATTTTAAGTCACAAGTTGTCTTACAAGTGCATGGAAATTAACCTTTTGCGAGAATACAGTCATTTACAGTCATTTGGTTCCACTGGCAGCACTGTAAGGGAGGAGAACAGAAGGGCAACACCTAGATAGTAGGGGAGGAGGAAAAAGACAACACTGTGTGGGAGGGAAATGGAAGGGCAGCACCAACACAGTGAGGGAGGAGAACAGAAGGGCAACACCTAGATAGTAGGGGAGGAGGAAAAAGACAACACTGTGTGGGAGGGAAATGGAAGGGCAATTACTATAGTGGGGAGGAGAATGAAAGGGCAATATGCATAGTGGGGGAGGAGAATGGAAGGGCAGTACTGTGTGTGGGAGGGAAATGGAAGGGCAGCAGTGAGGAGGAATTTTTAGTAGCGTGGGGGTAGAATGGAATAGAAAGGTAGCTGTTATATAGTTTGGGAGGAGAATGGAAGGACAACATCCTTCTCATTGAATATTTGTTGCCTAATTGATGTAAAGCAGATAATAAAACAGTGTTTGTATTTCTATATATATTGGCATATTTATGTGAAAACCTGTTTGAAATAAAAAAATAAAATAGATGTGATTTCTAAAACAAGTTCTTTGTTTTTCGCTTGAGCTTATGCCGTACTGCGCCGTCCGTCTGTCCGTCAACTTTTTCTTTGAGCGACTTATTCTGAAGAACTTGAGGGACTAGGGTTATGATATTTGGCCAGTAGCCACCTGGGATAGAGTGCTATAAAGTTTCCTCATTAAAATGGCCTTGACCTACTTTCAAGGTCACGGGGGTCAAATATGTTAAAAACTTTAACAATCTTTTCTCATGTTCCCTAAGGCCAAAGGTCATAATATTATGCCAGTAGGTACCTGGGATGGACTGCTATAAACTTTCCTCATTAAAATTACCTCGACCTACTTTCAAGGTCACAGGGGTCAATTTTGTTAAAAACTTTAATAATCTTCTTCTCAAGATCCATAAGGCATAGGGTCATGCTATTTTGCTAGTAGGTACCTTGGATGGAGTGCTATAAAATTTCCTCATTATAATGACCTGGACCTACTTTCAAGGTCACAGGGGTCAAATATGTTAAAAACTTTAACAATCTTCTTCTCATGTTCCCTAAGGCCAAGGGTCATAATATTATGCCAGTAGGTACCTGGGATGGAGTGCTATAAACTTTCATTATTTAAATTACCTTGACCTACTTTCAAGGTCACAGGGGTCAATTTTGTTAAAAACTTTAATAATCTTCTTCTCAAGATCCATAAGGCATAGGGTCATGCTATTTTGCTAGTAGGTACCTTGGATAGAGTGCTATAAAATTTCCTCATTAAAATGACCTGGACCTACTTTCAAGGTCACAGTGGTCAAATATGTTAAAAACTTTAGCAATCTTTTCAAATTCCATAAGACACAGGGTCATAATATTTTGCCATTACGTACCTGGGATGGAGTGCTATGAAATTTTGTCATTAAAATGACCTGGACCTACTTGCAAGGTCACAGGGGTCAAATGTGTAAAGCTTTTCATACGACTTCTTCTAAAGAACTGAAAGGTATAGAGTCTTTATATTTGGCTGATGGCTTCCTGGGATAGAGCCCGACAAAGTTTGAGAATGAAAATGACTTTGACCTACTTTCAAGGTCACAGGTGTCAAATATTCCAAATGCTTCAAACGACTTTCTGAAGAAATAAAAGGTATAGAGTCTTTATATTTGGCTGGTGGCTTCCTGGGATAGAGCTCACGAAAGATTGCAAATGAAAATGACATCAACCTACTTTAAAGGTCACAGAGGTCAACAACATTTCAAACAATTTGTTCTGAAGAACCAAAAGGAATGGAGTTAGAGTTACATTGACCTACTTGCAAGGTCACAGGGAATAATATGTCAAACAACTTCTGAAGAAAAACCAAAAAGCATAGAATCTTATAATATTATTTGGCTGGTAGTTTCAACAGATGGAGCCGACAAAGTTTGCGAGGGAAATATTTGTAGTGCAATATAATATTTAATGAGAATATTTTGCTATGACTTCTTAAATATTCAGGTGAGCGATACAGGCCCTCTGGGCCTCTTGTTCATGAAATGTTTCCCACTAGGTTCTATCTTTACTGTACGATGCAGCATCTGTTGTCTGTCTATCATCTTTTTCGTTGAAGAATTTCTTCTTTAAAACTTAAGATCAAGGAAAAAAATGTACTTTGTTTCCACTAATCTAACCGACCAGTAATTTTTAGCTTACCTGGCAGGAAGAGCCTGTGAGCTAAGGGTATGGTATGTTGTCCGCTGTCCATCAACTTTTTCTTCATACAACTTCTTTTTTAGAACTTGAGGCCCTAGGGTCAAGATATTTGGCCAGTAGATACCCGGTAAGATGTGCTATAAACATGCCTCAAATAAATTACCTTGACCTGCTTTCAAGGCCATTGTGGTCACATTTATAGAAATCTTAAACTACTTATGAATAACTGCGAAGGCCCAGGATGATGATATTTGGCCAAAACGTGCCTTAAATATAGTGAAATATTAAACGTAAATGACCTGGCCTACTTTTAAGGTCACAGGAATCAAATGTGTAAAACAAATTTAAATTCTTCCTAACTACAAAAAGTGCCATCAAAGAAATGACCTTGACCTACTTGACCAAATTAAGTATGAAGTATCCTTGGACCAAGATCTAGAGGACTCAACGTATAAACAGAAAGTCTGGCTCTCCAAAGCACAGCATGACCAGGCTCAATAGAGGTAACCAGAGAAAAATCTTCCTTCAGTACAGATTAAGTGATCTCAATAACTGGAACAGTTTTAAGCCAATGAGACTGAATATACGGAAATATTTGCAAAATTACTTTTATTAAGAATATTTTCCCCATGATCGCTTGCAATACAGGCCCTCTAGGCTCTTGCTAATGATTTAAACGAAGATTAAACTTTGCTTAAGTCAAGCAAAGCGATGTTTTGCCATTTGAGATCACCAGTTCTCTTACCCTGGACAGGTGTATCCACACTTTTACCGGTGTGAGATTTCCTCGTCTCACCCTAGGGTTGAAACAGGGGGGGAATTCCCCTAATCATAACAATGGTGTGACGTCACGTCAACAATCCATCAACGTCACATCAACCTGGAATTTAGCATGTAGCGTTATCATTACATTGTGTATATGATGCACAATGAGGGAACAGGGAAAGAGAAAAAGAATCATTCATCCTGGGATAAAAGGCTACCAATTGTGTTCAAATAAATGACCTTCAGCAATATTCAAGGTCACAAGGGTGTTATATGTTGAAACCTCTTCTGAATAACCTTAAAGGCCCAATATGATATTTGGCTGGTAATTTGCTGAGATGAAGCATTACCAAGTTTGTTCAAATGAATGACCTCCCATATTCAAGGTCATTCGTGTGAAATGTCTTGACAAGTTTTAAACAACATCTTCTGAATCACAAAAACCAAACCATAGTACGGTGACATTTTGCCAGAGGTATGCTCAGATGAAGAGCTATCAAGTTTGTTCGTATGACTAACCTTGACTCACTTTCAAGGTTACATCTGGTCTATTTTGTATAATCTTTAAATTACCTCATTTATGGTGGTGATATTTAGCAAGTTACATGCTTGGATGAAGGGCTTATAAGTTTGTCCAACTTAATGACCTTGTTAGACTCTCAAGGTCACAGGGTTCAAATGTGTCTTTTAACAGGTTCTTTTAAATCACTTAGAGTCATAGATAGTGATAGTTTGCCTGTAGATTTATTTAAGTCCACTTTTAACGTTACAAGTGTGAGATTTCCTGAAAATTAAAATTAAAATGTTTTTATTTATATTTATTTTTTATTTTTCAAGTATTTTCAAAGATATGTTACAAAGCATATGAACACACATGCACCACTCATTCACGCATGCACATCATTCATCATCATTCATCATCATCATCATCATCTTCATCACTGCACCTCATCATCATCATCATCATCAATCTTATTCTTAACATTCATCATCATCACCATCATCTTTAACAACACACACTCACACCAATTTGATGATACTATCATCAATGTCATAAGCTAAGCAAAACATTAAAATGTTCATGCTGTAAAAGATTAGGCCATTTCAATAAATAGAACAGCAACACAGGAACAGCTGATGTCGCTCAGTTTTCTACATAAAATCGAAAGAAAACACAACACTTTAATTTCTGATTTATTTCTTTTAAATTTTCATCAATGAATAATTTGAAGTTAATAAAACAACTGTTTAATTAGTATAAATTCAAATGGGCATTTAATCACAAAACTTGTCACAGTAGCTATACTCGAGCCATGTACTCATGCACTGCATATAGCAGTGGCAGTTATACACTCATAAATGACACTCCTCATAGAAAGGATAAAGACGGTCAAGGTCACAGTTTTATAAGGTTTCCTTACATGAATAACACACTGTCAAGCTGTCCGCTTTTTTGGTAAATGGATAAAAATCTTCCAGAACCTCCTCAATCTCCAAAGGGCCAGGGTGATGATATTTAGCCAGTAGACACCAGGTACAGAATGCTATGAAAAATCATCATATACATTACTTTAATCTATTTTTAAGATCACAAAGGTCAAATATGCTATAAAAATCAAGCATCATTTTCTAAACAACTAGGAGGTCTAGAGATATGTTCTGTAGACCATCAGTGCAAGTATTTAGGTCAAAGGTCATCTTTAAGCTCAGGTTTAAGCTGGAGTTAAAGGATACAGACTTTTTTGAACATAAGTGACTTTGACGAAGTGAAGACACCTTGTTATATGCTGAAATTCTGTACCCAGAGAACTAGAATAATGATTTCACAAAAATGGGTATCATTAATTGAACAATTACAATCTGGACCCTTTTAATTACTGTGATATTAGTAAAACGACTAATTACCAAACAAACAAACAGATAATCAGTAAATTTACAGAATATTTACATTACAAACATTCTTCAACTCTTCAACATCAGATTCAGCAAAATACATTACATATTTGAAAGTAGAAAACTATGTCATATGTATATCAGCTAAAATAGATTTTGATTAAAGGATACAGACTCAGAGAAGAAGTCAAATGTTTGTTTTTTTAATTATTTTTAGAATTAAATTCAATGCTACTGTCAAAAACATCACTTGTCTTTTGTTGTCGAGACAGCTATTGTACTTTCATTATCACAATTGTCGTTTTGGATTTAGCCATTTCCAATAATTGTTATAGAATATATTGATTATTGTGTTGGTAAACTTCTTTTGTTTACCCAGTACATCTTAAAGTTGATCAAGTGATAATGACAACGTCCATCGCCTTTTAGTGGTAGTTGTTAGATATACACTTGGTAGTTGATCCAGTCGTCACACACTGCTGTACTGTAGGAGTTTCACTTTGTTAACCCCAAACACAACCCACAGGACATCCTTCTTGTCTACTCCAATAGCATAGGCACAGTAACCATCTTTGTGTAAGATCCTGAGGAACTCACCACACCCACTGCTGAGTACGACACTCTTGTTGTTAAAGTCCCCGATGACAAGGTTACCCACACTGTCATACACCACACCATATGGGTTAAACCTTTCACCTTCTGACTGTGATGGTGGTTGATATGTATGGAGGACTTCACCATCATACACAAATAGTTCCTTGAAATCTGTATCCATGACAACAACACGTGGTTTCCCTTCACCACCTTGATTTTTATTATCAAAGTCAACCACTGCGACATTGTGAGTGACAGGACACTCTGAGATCCTGTATGGTCTACACACTAATGGTTTCCCAGTCCCTGTAGCTGGTGTAGTACATACCAATTTACCTTTTGTGGTAAGTTTTGAGAGGTGTTTTGCCATCCCCACAATGACATGGTTACTAGCTGTAATACAGATACACTGTGGTGTCTTCCTGGTACTGAATATGTGTACTAGTCCTCCTGACACGAGCTCTGTGATGTTGTTTTCCTTGTCACAGACCCACAGTGTGTTGGTTGTGGGTGACAGACTTATGTCTATGATCTCAGCATGGTGTGTAACCTCCTGAATAACTTGTCCCTTCCTGTCCAGGAGAGTTAAGGTGTTACTGTAAAAGTAACTGGTCCACACCTGACCATCAGTGGTGGGACATACAGAAGTAATGTCACATGGAGAAATCAACTCCCCCAACACCTTGGTCTGAGGCAACAGAATATACACTGGACTGGTCAATTCTTTTTCCCCTTTTGATCTGTGTTGTGTAGAGGGAAGTCTTTGTCCAGTGGATGATCCAAGTAAGCCCTGACCCTGACATTGATCTGAGGTGTTAACTTCTCCAAAAGCTTGTTCCAGGTGACCCTGAGGATTTTGGTTCGGACTGAAGCTAGCAGTACACAGGGTAGGTTTTACAGGGAGAGTGGCAGAAGATTGAATCTCATGTCCTGTGTCGTAGACTTGTATGTCAGAGCCACGCTGAAGTGCTATCTTACATTCCTGTACTTGGTGTTTTAACTGAGTACTGTACATTTCCAGGTCCTGTTTGTATGTTTGTAGTAGCTTGGTGTTATCCTCCTCCATTTGTTGATAGAGAGACAGAGTCTGAACTGTTAACAGGTCAAGGTCATGTTTTAATTTGTTTGTTTGTGTCTTCAACTGGTGCGAAAGTTTTTCAATGTTACTGGTGTTGTCCTTTAGATGTTTATCAGTAGAAGTGATGTACTGGTCGATTTGTACAAGGTCCACTTTCTCAGTTTTGTTTACGAAGCTTTGAATGTCTTGTTTCTTTTGGAGTGTCATTTCCCTAAGATCACACACTGTATGACTCTGATGTACAGTAGATAGACACTTCATACAAGCAAGTTCTTTACATTCTTCACAGTAAACGTCCAGACATGTCCCCTTGTGGTGAATACAGCTGGTTTGACCTTTGACACGAAATGGAATCTGACCTTTGTAATTGGACACAGCCATTTCAATAAGAAAATGTAAAACCTTTGTGTATTATCAACTTAATCAAAATGTTATTCCAGAGTGAAGCAGTTTATGAAATTTACAGTTTGAATTGTATCACATTGATCAAAACAATCGCAAAGAAAAATTTGTTTCAGCAACAAGAAGGAAAATCCATAGTACGTTTTCACTAGATCCTGGGGTTGTTGGTTGTGGTTGTTACCCTCTGGGGTAGTTTGTTGAATATATTTGTAGTCACGTATATTCACTCACCTTGTTTACAATGTCAGGACGTCCACAGACAACGAACAACAACATTTAATAAGCACATCCATCAGAGCAGATTGTCACAACATAATGATAGAAGTTATGTGAGTGTGATAAGGTAACGTCTGGGTATATCTGTTAAATTTGTAAATCACATAACAAAATTTACCCGGCCAGAAGGTGGGTGTTTTATTATCTACCCGGCCAGACATGAGCCCGACGTTAGGGGTGTTATTATCTACCTTGTTATCTATGGGGTGATGTATTATGAGCGTTTTAATAGATCAGTATGCAGCAATACATGTAATAGTTCCTTGTTGTGCGACGTTGCCGACGATCTGTAGAAATGATCAGCTGACAGAATGTAAATTTTATGTTATGATACAGCTTAGAGGAATCCTTTCTCTTGATACAGTATCTGTTGCCAGCCAATCCAGCATCAATATTCCCAACTTTTAAAAGTCACTTACAAAACATTTTCAACTGCATTGCAAATGGCTCTGTTTTAAATTTCCTTGAACCAACCTTGATAAAACTAATATTAATGTCCAATGTCAATTGCTCCTTTCTTAATGAATACGTCCAGGCCCATATTTTGTATCACTTCACTTTTGATTGAAAAAAATGGTTAAGTACGACCTCAACATGGTTTACAAGTGATTATCTCCCCTTAGTTGGTTCACTATGTTTATAATTCTGTATCAACAGTGTTCGTTATATGTGCAGTTTTGTTTTCAAGGTTCATAAGCAAAACATTCCAGTTAAATAACAATCTTGTAAACTGAATTTCAAGTATCTGCCTCTTCATTTTATTTACTAACTGAATAAAAAGAATTCATTTTTTTCCGGTATAAAACAACTTATTAAAATAAATTATATATTTCCTCTATATTAGTTCTTAAACATTGTAAACAGAAAATATACAAGAAATCATCTGGGCATAAATAAATATTGTATACAGTTAAAGACCTCTAATGAAGTTTATACAATACCTAAAGTTAAACCAAACGATCTAGAGCTGTCTGAAGTCAAAACAACTACATATTACCGTACTTATCCTGCAATAAGCCCAGGTGACAACCCAGAATCTCTGACTCCAAGTAGGGTGGGCTTATTATAGGACAATATAATAGCATTTTGTGGCATTTCTACTGAACTGCTATACAATAGGATGGGCTTATTACAGGACAATATAATAGCATGTGTTGGCATTTCTACTGAACTGCCACAGGTGGGCTTATTACCAGACAATAGCTTATTACTAGATTGGGGAAATTCCCTCTCGCCAAGTCAGTAGCAAGTAATTAGATGGTTCACCTCTGTGACATACCTCTAGTTGAGTCAGTAACAAGTGACTAGATGGTTTACCACTGTGATATACCTCTAGGTGAGTCAGTAACAAGTGACAAGATGGTTCCCCACTGTGATATACCTCTAGGTGAGTCAGTAACAAGTGACTAGATGGTTCCCCTCTGTGACATACCTCTAGTTGAGTCAGTAACAAGTAACTAGATGGTTCCCCACTGTGATATACCTCTAGTTGTGTCAGTAACAAGTGATTACCCAATGTTGCCCTTCAGAGTTATTTAAGAAATAATTGTATTGTGGTGGAATATAACGAGGACGAGAAAATGTAAAGAAATAAGCCACGAAGGCTGTAGGCCCGAGTGACTTATTTCCTTACAACATTTTCTTGTTTCTAAGGTTTTCACTACTTCTACAAAGTAATTCCTCCGATTTTCAGAAAACCATGCCTGTCATAATGTCAAAAAGTAGGTCACATTTGACTTTCGCGGTAGTGCAGTACTGTCGGGGGTTATATTTACGATTTTAACGTAAATATTTGGATATACGAAAACTTCGTTTATAATCAAAGCCAACTTACCCATACTTATTACTGTACAGTATGGCATTTTCATAACGCAGAAGTAACTGTTCGCCACTTTACCTTGTTATTTCAATTTATTTTACACATCTACGATTTTCCGAAAAAAAACATCGGGGTGTCAAACAATAGGTCGCACTTCAACAGTGATCTAGATAGTTATTAAATGATAAGGCAAACGCATATCGATATGTGCACAATTATATTGATGCCTATTGAAATATATTAATTTTGCAGAATGAATTATTTGATTAATCAGTAAATCAAGGTATTTATAATCACTGAATTAATGAAGTGAAGAATTATAAAAAATAAATAAATAAACATTCATGTCAATTTAAAGTCAAACAAGAGAATTTCCATCATCATTATCATTATCATCATCATCTGGCTGCTAGCAACAACAATTTAAATTGGTTTGCAATCCAAAACTCCTATTGTTTTATCTTTATTTATTCTTATTCCACAGATCTTATTTTGAGAAGTTCATATTAACTGTGAAGTTGGCTCCAGAAGACATATTGATTGTAGATCCAGCAAATAAAGGTAAACCGGCAAGTGTTGGGGATTTCTGGGTCGAAGAGAACATATTCATATTTGTCATTAATTGCGTTAGAGGAAAACAGACCATGGCCATGTACTATAGATGTGCTGTTGGACGTTTGAGACGCTATTTGTGATCGGTGTAAACTTGATTGTTGCATAGCAGAGAAAGATTGATTTGAATGGTTCATCTGCTGTCCAGTGACTGTACTCTGTAGAATTTCGCGTAGTGACGTCTTTGTTCTGTTGAGGGTTTGTGTATATAGCTCTGAAGAGACATCTCAGTCCGATGCCCAGTAACTGACATCATACCAAGAGAATTGACACCAGCATGTGACAGATTTGTTGCTGTTGTTGCGTGTACACAGTGATTAGTATAAATCTGGCTGAGTTGAGCGGACTTAGATATAGTGGACATCATGTTGTTGGGTGTGTTGACTCCTATTGGCTTTGTGAAAAAATTGACAATGGCTGTTGAAAGAAAGCATCTTGTTTCCAAGAAAATTTCATTGACTTAACGGGACAGTTATTACCATCTCTAGCATTCATCCTTGCGGTTTTAATTGTTTCTCTTGAATCAATACCAGAATGAGTTTTGTCCTTTTTATTGTAGGATGTTACAAAGTACTCTTTATTTTCATCATCAGGTTTGAGAACAAATGAACCAGTATGAAGGGTTCTGATTCCTTCTCGCCTACGACCGCCAAAATGCAAAGATACTTCAAACCATACTTTGCGCAGTAGAGCGAGTGGGTTATCATTACTTAACGTGTTGGAGGAGTAAAGCTTCTTTAAATCATTGGCACTGATTGCTTCATGATGTTTAGTTATGTCCAAGCCGTCCCGTTTCATAGACTTGATTACCCCCATCAGAACATTGTTACAAGATAGAAAGTCCCTATCATGCATTATGCTAAAGTTTCTGTTATATGGGGGACTGTTAATGTGACGCTGACTTGCTGCTCGCACACCAGTCAATGCAGACTTGGAATATTGTTTTCCCTGTTTAGAGATGATCTCTGCATAAAACTGTCGCAACAATGCTGCAAGATCACCTGCTCTTAAAAACTCGAAATCGACTGACTTTCCTTTCTCAATTAACCACACTGCAAGTGAAAAAAATATTCTTTAATTTGGTTCAAAGTAATTACATGTAGTGTATATGTGTATGACTTTCTTAGGCTTAAATGAAATAAACAACTCAGACTTTATATTGTTTTTTCATAAACATCTCGGTTATTTTTTCATTTAAATCTAGGTCTTTCTATTTACATGTTATAAACATCAATGTGCTTATTTAGAATTCTCAGATTGAATTATTTAAGAGAAAAGACCAATTAATTAATCTTTAAATAAACACTTGAAACGGAGGAGAAAAAAATACCTGTATTTTGTTAGAATATAAAACTCGGACTCGAAAAAAAGATTTGCTTTACAACATTTTCTCCTCCTCATTATATATTCCAACACAATACACACAAAAGCGTGGTCTGTTCAGAAATGAGATGGTCTGTTTAGAAATGATACGGACTGTTAAGAAAGCTTTCAAATCTGATGTGGAAATAATGTAATAAGAATGTACACAGCAATTTCACTTTTTTAGAAAACCTTTTGTTTGTCATGCAAGCTAATTTGTGTGAGAAATGGAGCCTTCATATCATTTTCTTGTTATTGTTTAACACATAACACTATGAGGTTGAGCTCAAGGCCGTCACGGTTCTGTAAGTCTTATTTGAGTGTGCGGTTTCACAAAGCGTGCGAGAATATAATGACAGCATGCTTTAATTTACAGTCATTTATTCCACTTGGCAGCACTGTGAGGGAGGAGAACAGCAACTAGATAGTAGAGGAGGAGGAAAAAGGCAACACTGTTGGAGGGGAATGGAAGGGCAGCACCATCACAGTGAGGGAGGAGAAAAGAAGGGCAACAGCGAGATAGTAGGGGAGGAGGAAAAAGCAAACACTGTGTGGGAGGGAAACGGAAGGTCAGCACAAACATGGTGAGGAAGAATGAAAAGACAGCTCTTAGTAGTGTGGGGTTGAAATACTTCAAAATGGAATAGAGGAAAATGGAAGGGCAATTACTATAGTGGGGAGAAGAATGGAAGGGCAATATGCAAAGTGGGGGAGGAGAATGGAAGGGCAGTACTGTGTGTGGGAGGGAAATGGAAGGGCAGCAGTTAGGAGGAAATTTTATTAGTGTGGGGATAGAATGGAATAGAAAGGTAGCTGTTATATAGTTTGGGAGGAGAATGGAAGGGCAACATCATTCTCATTTAATATTTGTTGCCTTACTGATGTAAAGCAGATAATAAAACAGTGTTTG